ATTGATGTTGAGTGGTATGCAAATCTCACAGCGTCAGGCGGGAGTTGAACCCATGCCGCACTCCTTGCGGGCACTTGCTAGCCACTACACTCTCGTGCTCCTGTTCTGCTATCACTCTTTGATTTGGTCTGCTTTGGTGATCATATATCGGCATTAAATTCATCTGATAAGTGATAACAGAATGTGGCCCACTGGTGCAGTGGTTAGGACGTGTCCTGCGTGAAGGGTTGGAGCCGGGTTCAACTTTTGTCGTTCGTGCATCAAAGTTTTGCTTAGTACTCAGCACTATTGAATACGTATTACGTATTTGTTAACGAGCAAAAATTCGACCTCAGACGGTAATAACTATAGCAATGATATACTGAAAAATGAGTGGTGAGTAAGTGGTGGCGTCGCTGTTGCAGTGGTAGGACGCGCCCCGATATGAGTTAAACGCGGGTTCAACTCCCGTCTAAGATCGAATTTTTGCTCATCACTCAATTCCCTTAGGTATATTTGACATATCATAGCACTGCGAAAATGCGGTAAATTATTAGAATTATTGAGTCTTTCGTTCATTTTATATACGATCTTTTATAGCGTTTATCACCATACATCTTACTAACGTGGTGGTTGTCGTCATTAGTTCAGATTAAGTAGAATGTTTAGTTTTAAGACCTGTAAACAATATTGTACTAAAGACGGAGTAAAACACAACAAGTAGCAAACACAAATTTATGAATAGCAAGACATCTACTCACATATATTCCATTTACAAGTGAAGTGATTCAATAAAGAATAAAAAATTCGAAGCAACTACGGTGCTAGTTTTTGTGCAGCACATCAACTACAAAAAAAAACCATAACATGATAAACGAGATGCAACGTGTAGTGGTTTGTCTTGTTCACAACAAACTCAATGATGGCCTCCAAGCTGCTCCTGGTACACCTGGAAGTGGAAGCAGATACTAATGGGAACTTACAGCACACAACAGTAGCAAGAAAGAAAAATGATACACGCTTGCAAGTCCACCATAGGGCGAGAGCAAAGCGGTTGAGCTTTTATCACTCCTTGAGAAATGCCACATGCATTCTACACCATCACGTGTCATAGAGGTTACTGATCGCACACCTAGTGATAAGCCGTGGTGTCCAATGGGCCATTGGTTTTCTCGGAGTCACCAAACTGGTAATCACATTTAATTGGGACGTCAAAAACACCAACTGTGTGCATTGCCAGGCCACTCCAGATCATTTTATTTACCACAAATGCATTCTGTCACTTCTAAGATGATTGCTGGTGTCGAATGAACGGCGCATTCATCATCGGCTTATCAACGACGGACAGTTTATAATCGTTGTGCGTATGAAAAAATTACCTCAATCACGTCATTATTTTCCATATTAAGATTCTTCGGTGTGTCATCATCGTTCAATCGTCGACCATTGTAGAGGAATCTACAAACAATGAAACACTAAATTCGCTCAATATCAAAGAGACCTATAGTGTGAATTATGATATAAAAAACCGCAAGTTACCTGAATGACGATATCGCTACGCCAAAGCGATTGGCGTAGGATCTCTTAATTCTTCCTATGGCAGTACCAACCTTCACAAAGAAATGAAGTTCGTCTGAATTCTGGAAAAAAAACTGTGCTTAGTAAACAGTACGGTTTCACGCCGTTTTGAGTAAACGTTTAAAGCTCTTTCTGTGTAATGTCTTGGAAGCACATAGCAGATTAGCTAAAATGGCTAACCATTGCGAGTTGAACACCTAGCACATGGGATTTTACTCCGCGCACCAAATCCTCACTAAATAAACTCCTCTGGTGCACACACCAAGCATATGTGCAAAGTCGACTGATCAAGGAATTAGGATCCTGGCATAATTAGGAAAGAAGCACCACATTCTATGTTTTTTGAAGTGGTACTCACTCATTTTGATCTCTGAAACTATCGTTTATCAAGTTTTCACCAAGAAAAACATGACAACTAGTCCTGGAAACAAAAAATGACCTGATATAATCGATTTCCGATGCCCAAATCCATTTCTCTTTATTTGTCTCTCGAGTACTGATATGGAAAAAAAACTTTTCGGACTATTTCGTTTTGGTTACTTGTCATTCATTTAAGTCTTTGCCTTCACTATCGTATAGAGCAGCATTTTGCAGTTATTCTAATATATAACACTTATACATCTTTCTGATATAGAACTGTCCCAAACGCAAAAACGATTGTTGATGAGGTGGATAGAGCAACTGAAGTTCTTTGACTCGAAAGGCACCGAGTTTTACCGCCGCGAAATAATGAGGTTGCCGGAAAGTGGGAGCAAGTGATTATTGAAGAGGTATACTTTTATAATCATTTGTTGATTTTATACGATGAAAAAAAAGGATGAACTTGACCAGAAACGAAGTGTCCGGAAAATTTCTCGCTTACCCAATACGTCAAAATTAAGATGATTCCAAACAAAAGGCAGTTTTGAGAGATCAAAGGATACGTATATAACAATGAATAAATCCATGCTTTCATTAAAAAAACACAAAATTTACAACTAATCAGAAGGCCGTCATAATTGTTTATGAACAAATATCCAATACTTATGCGACTCTGGAATCTGGCTAGTAATTGTAGTATTCTAATTAAAACACTTCGCATATGCAGTGGGCTTTTGTCATAGACCTCTCTCTCTCCTCTCCTCTCTTTCCGTTAGAAATGTGGGCCATTTTTCCTTTCAGTGTACGATCGTACAAGATATTAATTTGTTTTTATTTTAATTAATACAAGGAAGCCAGTACGAAAATATCCACATTTTCAGTGGAGAGCGAAAGACAGAGATAGATAGAGAGAGCGAGGGGGGAGGGGAGAGAGAGAGAGAGAGAGAGAGAGAGAGAGAGAGAGAGAGACATTACATGGCAACGCTTAAAATTCATCGCCATAAAGGATAAAAGGACAAAGGTCTCGCCGTTGATCAACCCCTGAGGGATGCGCCATGCATTCATCTTCGATTCTTAACTTCGCCTCAGGTGATCTGACGCATATCTGGTTTTTACAACAACTCGCGGTGGCCTCCCTCTGCATTGAGCCAGTACTACTGATCATCTCAGACAAGTCTGACACCAGCCTGGCACCACTTTACCAACCCACCAACCCGGAGTGATGGATGGCTTCGCTATTCATGAGCGCGAGATCGAACCATAGACCTTGTGTGCGACACGGAGCACCTCTAACCACCGCGCCATATCACCATACTGAGGAGAAATACCGAATCTCGCTACGATTCGCCAATTTCTTGACGAGCAGCAAAAAATGGTTGCTAAAATCTACTCAGCATAGTAATTTGTGCAGTAAAAGTGACGTCATCAACCGTCAGACTGGAAAAAATACGGAAAAACTTCGAGAGTGATCGTCAAGAAAGTCGCGCATGAAATGACCAATTGTTGACCTTTATTCCGACAAGGAGCGCATGTGGCGCAGTGGTTAGAGGTGCCCTGCGTCGTCCACAAGGTCGATAGCTCAATCTCGCGCTTATGGCTCACCAAGCCATCCATCCCTCCGGGTTCGGTAAATTGGTAACAGACAGGTCTCAGACTTGTCTGGGAGGATAAGCAGCACTGACTGGGTTCAGCGGGAGGCCACCGCGAGTCATTGTAAAGGCCAGATGTGCATTCAATCACCTCAAACGAAGTTGAAAATTGAAGTCGAATGCATGGCGCATCCCTCAGGATTGATCAACGCCGAGAGCTTATCCTTTATCCTTTTATTCCGACAAGGCCGCAAATGTTTAAATTCTTTCGACTAACCTGGTCCACTACTCTCAGCGTGATGTGTTCCACCGCCGAATTACTGGCCGCGGGCGCTTCACTGCCGCTATTTGCCATATGGCTCTACTCTGAAATTTCTCACTTTTTGGATCCTCTTCAAGGTAAAACAAAAACTACACAGAGCAGAACGATTCCCAGAATCACAACACAATAAGGTGTTAGTGGATAGAGCATGTTTTGAGCCGTTTGTCAAGTCCGATAAGTGCTAGACAGGCGCCTGCTTTGTTTTCCACGACTCTTCCGTAGCACAGTCCACGGTTCAGCCGATCCATCAAGACTACACTTCTCCATGAAGCTTTAAGAGATCGGCTGAACCGAGGGACTGCGATACCGGAGAGTTCAGAAAGTCGAATCAGGCGCCTGACTGGCTCCTATCAGACCTCATAAACGGCTCAAAACATGTTATATCGTTATTATACTACCATTATTTTTCAGCGAGCTCTTCAAAAAAAAAAAAGGACGAATCGAAGAAAATGAGGTGAAGTAGTACAGAACAGACGAAAACGTGAAGAAAACGACCGCGCGAGTGCTATCAACAGAACCGCGCGTTACCGATCGATATGAGACGATGGTTTCGCGCCCGAATGACGTCATAGCCCGCCCACTCCGTAGATGCCCGCTTTGCGTGCGAGTGTGCACGTATTTGGAGACATCGGACAGCGTGAGTGTCATTTCGAAATCACGCGGGCAACCGATCGATAGTGACACGTGACGAAGCGATGACGTCACGCGCTGAGAGTGGACGACGTACTGGGTGTGGTCTCAGCGTCTGCTGGGGTTTTCGGCGAATAAGAATACATTTCAGAAAAGCCAGAGAATAAACAGATATAAGATAGGGAAAAGGATTGACGAATAGATGGAGTAAAAATGATTATTGATTTGATCGATTTCTGCTTAAGAGGTCCGGTCTCCTCCATGAATGTCGCAGTGTCGGTCCCGAGACGAAGTCCCTGAAACCCTGAGAGTCGTAGAGCTAAGCATCTCCAATCTAAAATTGCAGGCATGTAATGGGGTCGTAAATCGAACCATCATTTTGCTTTCTGATAGCGTACACCACTAACCACTCGGCCACACCCTATCCCCTTTTCAGAGACGAGAATGGTAAGTATGATCGACGAAAATTCCTTTTATTTGATCGCTCTTGCTTGGTTGCTGACGAATTGATGGGTTGCAGCGTAGAATGGTGGGCAAAACAGGCGTCGATAGCGCAACGGGTTAGAGCGCGCGCCCCGCGGATAGGGTAAAACACGGGTTCGAGTCCCGCCTGACGCAAAACTTTTGCACATCACTCAACATCATTGAAGAGACAGATAATTTAGTAAACTGACAATGACTGGAATAAGTTGCAACAATGAGCAGCAAAAGATCTTAATGGTAATCAACCTATCGACTCTTATAAACGAATTTCTCCGTCGCAAAAGGCGAATGAAGAATCTTTAAGAGAAAATGACCCTCATGAACAGGAATGCTTCTGAATTGGTTGGCAAAGAATGTAAGAACAAAGGCTTAGCCCGGATAGAAGAACAGAAAGGTGATCGACCGTCATCGTTACCCATGGGACTTCATTCCCACCATAAAATACCAAGCTTCATCCCCTCCAACATCCTCAGAGAAATCACAGCATGAAAAGTAGCAGTGGAACAAAAGGCTGGTACTGGCCACATCTTTATCTTCCAACATATGAAGAAGCTGCTGCTTCCCCTCAGATCCATAGAGGACTTCTTCTCTTCACTGATATCGATTTCGTTTTGTCAGATTTCTCCAAAGACGTGGACACCACGAGGCTCGTACCAGCCACACCTCGATCTTGAACATTTGAAGACTTTGCTGCTTGCTCTATGCGCCATAGAGACTGCTCCGCTCCACCGATGCCAATTTCCTTTTCTAGAATTTCTTCAAAGAAATGGACGCTACGAGGGTGGTACCAGCCACATCTTGATTCCAATACTTCTTTAAGTTACTGCTTCTCCTATGAAGCACAGAGACTTCTCCACTCACTAATGTCAATTTCCTTTGTCACCTTTCCCAAAGAAGTGGACGCTACGAGAGGGGTTTTGCTAATCACAGAACCCTAGGTATTAGCAGATCGTATAGCGATTTTACCACCATAGTTATACTAGATCTAATACTTCATAAAAGTTTTCTTCAACATTAACACAGAGAACAAGGCAAAACAAGGCAAAGCTTTCTCCCGATAATTTCTCTAAAATCCTCTCTCGAGAACGTTATAACGAAACCACGAATCCATGAAAATCAAACATACAGTTTTCGTATCAGCGGAAATTTAGTCAATAATGGTGACTGGTTTGCAAAACTATGACATCAGGCAGGAGTCGAACCCGCACGAGTTTTGCACATCACTAAACATCATTTGGTGCATTTGTAACATCATATCACAAACAAAAAACCGCCTAAATGAAAAATTTCTTGCTTAGTCTAGTTTTCAGAACCTAAGCAAAAAATGAAACCCAGTGAACGCCAAGAAATGTCAGTGCTCAGGGTGAGAGTCTATCTACACCGATAATGCTCAGTGATGTGCAAAGTTTTGAGTTTCACACGGAAATCGAGTCGACACTTCATCTTTACCGAGGGTGCGTGCTAACCAATTGTACTACCGAGGCTCCTGTTCTGGTATCACTCGTCCTGCGATACAATATATCGATTTGTCAGAAACCAAGCGTAAACGATCTGACCTGGGAAGCGCATATTGGCATTGAACGCGGGAGTGAAATGCTAGTTCACTTCCCATCTAAGGTTCATAGTCTTGCATAAATCCTTGAAGCATTCGGCGTTGATCAGTCTCTGAGGGACCCTGAGATTGGCCTTCGATTTCTGAATTCGTTTGAGTTGGGTTGATTGAATGCATATCTGGCCTTTACAATGACTCGCGGTGACATCCCGCTGTATAAAGTCAGTGCTGCTTGTCCTTCCAGACAAGTCCGGCACCAGTCTGGTACCAATTTACCAACCAAAGAGGGATAGATAGCTTGATAAGCCATGAGCGTGAGATCGAACCATCAACCTTGTGTGCGATGCGATGCACCTCTAACCAATGCACCACATGCAATTTTTTGCACATCACCTAACATTGATATATATATATATATTCGTAACGTCATGCCAGCGCTAAAGCGGTTAAACAGAATAATCATTCAATTGCATTTCTCCTGTCCAGGATAAAAGTAACCCGGTGTATCTCGCTGGCTCTGAGCACTCAAAGACAAAACTAATCATGACGACAACACCAATGCCCCCACTTTCCTACTAAATATTCAGAAAATTTTCCGCTTCGATCAACAAAAAAGTGACCGACTGGTTGTAATGCGCGTCGCGGTGTGCGTGGGGCCGAATCTTACCCCCCAACACTTTTCGACAGTCAACAACGAAGGCCCCGATGGAAGACTACAGCCAGGCTATCCTCGAGATTTCAGAGGCATGATGAACCAGTATTCTGCGACGTTCAAGAAAAATACGGAAAAACGATTGAACGCTAAAAGCTTTGAGATCCGCAAGTGCTAGAGTTTTGGGCTATCGATACTCATAGAAAGTCTATCCTTCCAGATATCAGAAAATCGAAGATGCTGTGCGGTCTTCTATAGGAAAAACGTTAGTTTCACATTTGAAGCAATACGATGAAATTTTGGTGATACTTGATGGTGGTCCTGCTTGTGATCTTTCCAGCTTTTCGTGATACCAAACACCTATCAAACCTGAGTAATCAAATACCCACGTACTTTCAATTTCAATTTGATTTCTAAACGACGCTTAGTGATGGAGAAGCCCTCAAGCTGATGGGCACGCTCAGTTTGGGTCCACGGAAGCCAACCGGTTAATCAAGTTCCTTCGCGAATCGCAACACTTACCCGCGATTCGCTCCTTCACACTCACCCTCCACAAAGATCTTTGTAAATTTCATGTACTCCTTCAGCTGCTTTTAGAAGATTACACCTCTATATGAATGTTGTAGAATGCTGGTTGCAACCATTCCCCTAATAATTTTAGAGAAAGCCAAACCAAGGGTTTCTAGGCGCTTAGCTGATTGATTACAAGAGAATGCTAAGGGAAAGGATTGAACCAGCACTTTGCTCTTCCTTTGCTTCCAACACACCGTCTCACTAACCGCTGCGCCACCCCACCCCACACATGTATTCTAGATAAAAGAATACAACTATATTAACACTGAAACAACCTAGTAAAGATTAAAAAAAATGAAGAAAGATACAATGATGAGAATCAGCACGAGTTTAAAATTGCAAACAATTACGCATTGCCGCTCCACATTCAAGGCATTCCGCCACGTTCAACGAGAGTGTCCGACTAGAGCGCGATATTTGTGTGCGCCCCTTTCAGTGCGTACGTTTCACAGGGCCTATAAAGGTGGCGGCTCACTGCGTTCACAGAGATGATCGTTTCAATGCTCAGTTCCCAGAAGGAAGAAAAAGAAGGGAAAGAAATCCCCGTGAGAGGTAAAAGGGCTAATTGATTGGTCCTTTCAGAAGGCTTTTGATAGCCCGTACGCACAGGTTCTACACCATATGGGACAGTCGTGTGGGTGCAATGCGTTGAAGTCCGCATGATTTGATAAAAAAGGTGAATAAGTGGATGATTTGAGGTACTTCATCAGGGCACTTTTCCGTTAAACGGCACGGGTTCAGCAACCGATTCTTTTCGCCGAACTAGAATTTTTCATAGCAGTGTTAGTAACCATTCGAAAAGTTAAATCTCGAGCTAACGCGGGATGTCGCTAATTTTTGAAAAAAAAACCTTTTTATAACGCCGTTTAAAGCCAGTCACAGACGGAGGTAGACAAGAATTGTGCTCTTCGTGCTTCCACGAAAATAATAGCTGAATTAGGTGGCCGATGTGAAGCATAATTTTATTCTCAACATTATAGTGTCAAAAATGGCTTTTTTAAAAAACGGTCACTCATGTTTCTAGCCAGAGATTTTAGCTTTCAAATGAATGCTAACACTTCTATAAAAATTCCTCTCCAGTGAAAAAGATGGGTTTTTGATCCCGTGCCGTCCAACGGAAAAGAACCTTCATTAAAGTGTATTAGAGCAGTTTATACCACTAGGAAACCCATAAATCACTACCACTAAGAGTTAATAAAGGAATTAGAAAGAAAGTAGACAGAATAGCAAGAGTAATAGTAGTTATAATGTTTAGTTATAGCATTGAGACACAAACCAATGCAGCTGCATTCTCAAAAGAGACTTATGGTAGATACGAAAGACGAAGGATAGAAAGGATAAAGCTTTCGGCGCTGATCAATGCTGAGAGATGCACCATACATTCTGATCTGAGCTTCCTTAAACATTTCGGATCCGTGGACCCACCTCTTGCGCATCTCTAAATCCCAGCGTGCCACTGCTAAACGCAACAATCTACCATTGTCAGACGCAGCACGTTGGGGGTCAGAAATGCAGAGGAGACAGAGTAGACCGTCCAGAGTTACCAATTAAAGATTGAGAGGCTTTATCCACGGTCTCGAAAGGGTTAAAGGTGAGTCTGTGCCTCTGCGTCTGTGACTCCCAGCACTGTTAGACGCAACATACTGAGGGTTAGGGACGTAGAGGCAGTGGGTCTACGGTCTTGTAAGTGTCAGTACTACGAACGACATGGACCTATAGTGTCTATGGACGACGAAGTTTGCCCTGCAAACGCTGCATTTTTCTGGCTTGTAATTCTTTTGTTCTAGTTGGTTTTTTTTTATGGGAATTGAACAATAATACGACTGTCTCAAAAAAAAAACCCAGTAGGTCCCTTCTTTTTCGTCAATGGCTATTACTGAAGCAATCTGGATTGGTAATTCTGTACCGTACCACGTTTCCGTAAGAGTTGAAACATCATTGAAACAAATTACGACAACAAATCCAGGAACATACAGTTTTTTGGAAAATACTCTGTGTGGATTCACATGAATAAACGCGAGTTCTGAGACCTCATGGTCCTACAATACGCATTTATTTCTACCACTACTACTTGTGTACCCAGTACCATGTCACAACGAAAAAAAAATATCACTTCATATCGAAATCCAAGGCACAAGTACATTGAAGAGACCTTATTGTCTTCTAATTACCGATAGACTTCAGCTTCCTTATCTGTTCGGTAAACACAAACATCGTAGTAAAACTTATGACAAGCAATCAACTCGCTTCGGAAGCATTTTTTAAATGTTAAATTGTGATGTATAGAAATGCCGCTTTTTCTGAGAACGCCTGATTTCACATCTGTCGCGTGCAGCTTTTGTTCTACTATAAAAAATA